ATTGCATTAGGATATTAAAAATAGCAAGTAGAAATTTATACAGATAGGTCAGTAACACTGCATTACCAACGGCAGCCTGTAATTTGATGCAGGCGTACACCAGCACGGCAACGAACAGCGTTGCCGTGACTTTCCCAAGGAACAGCAGTTTCCTTGCAAGCCGTCCCCGTTTTTTCTTTTGGAGTCTCCTCCGTTGGGGAACTTCTTCAACGTTCCCGTCGGGACATGGACGGTCCGCTTGATCCCGTGTCTGGCGTCCTGTAGAAACCGGTTCCAGGTTTATCTCGTCGTTCTCTCCGGTATCCTCGTCATTGAATTGCACCCAGGGGATGTGTGCAGTTTCCCTCGCGCTTCGAACATCGAAATGGGTGGTCGTACCCATCTTCCTGCGTCTGACCCGACGCAGACTTTCGCAACGTTTAACGCAACAACAGTTGCGGCACTTGGTTCGTCGTCCCTTGGAGTGCCGAAGACTGCCTCTTTCGCTTCCTCCTGTGGATGGCCGACGTCTCCTGCGGGAACGAGTGCTGGTCCTTCGTTGATCGGCGGATTTCAATCCGAGTAGTTGCAGGATTTTCAGCATTGGGGAATGCTCTTCGTTGCCACGAATGATTGTCAAGGGAAATCGATCCCCTTTTATACTAAGTCTCCAAGTACGTCACTAGACAAAAAGTTAGACCTAAATTTTCTCAACGAAACCTGCGAAAATTAAACAGAAAACACATAGATAATCAGAGAATAAGATAAGAGATTTATTCTACAGTCTATAAGTGTACAAGAACCAATTTTAATCAGAAAAACCTGTTAAACAAAACTAGAATCAGATCGACTTCATTGTTAAGATACGGAGATAAGCCAAGTAGAATTTTTACAATCATTCATCACTCCCTCCACTTTGATAATTTCATCAAGAATATCGCTCTGTACACGCTCATAGGGCACAGTAACGTTTGTCAGCGATCTACCATGGGGTCTCAGAAGGCAAATCTTATCTCTCGGTGATAGACAGATCACTCCGAGACGTTTCCGCGAACACTCAAAGTCTACGAGCGGAATCCTATCACGGGATCGTTCATCGATCACCACTCGAGACCAGGGATTGAATCCGAACTTCTCTGCTTCAGCTTTCGAAATGTGATCAGTGAGCACTTTTGGTCCTTCAAATCGTGTGACCAAAAGCCTCTCAATCGATCCTAGTCGTGTCGATGATTTATCGACAGTGCTGGCAATGCCCTGAAGCACCAGGAAATTGAGAATTCCCACGATGAGAATGAACATCAGTGTCACTGATGAGCAGCTACACCTATCACAGCAGTATCTCCTTCTTCGGAACACATCGTACACGTCCCGAGTTGGAAACAGCAAAGACCGCGTAGGTGGCGGCATGCTCTCCTCATCGGATAAGGCAGGTTCAGGGATGGGACCGAGTTCAATGCCGTTGTTCATTGTTCATCGAATGGAGCATTCAACACAAACCAATTGACGGAACACGATGGAATGGATCTCTCAGGATATGATCAGAGATTCACGTCGGAGTCAGGAATGTTCTCTCCCACGAAACGAATCCATCGTTCTAGACAACGTCTAGACATAAGCATCTTAAGTGACCATCTGAAATGCCCCAAGAAGCCCAGAATAGACTGAGTCTATCGCTTCTTCTTCGATTCCCATCTGTGAATGATATTCCAGTAGAATCACATGTCTTCTCTACGAACAACGAAAATCTACTTCCGGAATGACCATCCATTCTTCGTCCATTGAATCCTATGGATAATCCGAGAGTTTAGATAACGAAATGTAAATCATCATCAGGAGTATTGAGACACCCTGTATATCAAAAACTGGCCCACTGAGATCTAGGAGCATATGTGAATGCGGACTTCATGCAATTCATTCGGAACATGCAATATGTTAATCAATATGTTATAGGTGATGGATAAATAACTATTTTATTATCGTATCAGACCGCTTCCAGCGAAGGCGGGGTGTTCAGAATCTATGTTCCCTGTAACCGTCTGATACACTGAGGGAGACAGTGTTCTTTCTCTTTACCACTTTCCACTTCTTCTGGACCTATATAAGCACTGCAACAATTGGAATAAATACTGGGTAACACCAACTGTCTGTTCTATTATACTGAGCTCTGCTTAAGTGTCCAGTGAATATCGAATACTCTCCGTTCGTGTATCTCTCTACCGAGACGTCGTTCAGGCCGTGACTTCGCGGATTTTCTCCCGATCGCAACCATTCTGGTCCGAAAAGCCAGAAGTTTCTGAGCTCTTCGTATCTAGAAGTGACGCCCGACTCAGTAGGTCTGCCGGATTCTCGGCCGATCTGATGTAATTCCATTGCTCGGCTTTCGTTCCCTGCTGGATCTCAATGATTCTATTCTCCACGAAGGTTTTCCATCTGTCGGGACGATCTCGGATCCAAGCTAGCACGCATGCGTTATCACACCCGAATTTGACCACCGAGAACTCTCCCAGGTATGCCTGCTGTATCTTTTTGACGATTTTCACCGCGATTATCGCTCCGAGAAGTTCTAGTCTGTGGATCGACCAATCTCCCTTCAGCGGAGCCACCCTTCCTTTCGCGATGATCAACGTGGTTGATATTCTTCCGCTCTCCTGGAAGTTTCTAGCGTATGCCACGCAACCGTAAGCCGTAAGACTCGCATCACAGAATACATGTAGTTCCGTGATGCCCCCGACCTCTGAATTTATGAATCGACGCTCGAAATTAAGGCATGTAGCCACTTTTAATTTTTCTATGCTCGAGTCGAATTCTGCCAATTCTTCTCCTTCGATCAGACTATCCCAGTCGATCTTTTTTTGCCATAGTCGCTGAAGCAGTAATTTGAAGCCAAGTGTGATCGGAGCCAGCAGGCCTAAGGGATCGAACACTTGACTTACTCCTTTGAGAATAGCCCTCTTCGTGGCTTTGCAGTTTCCGAAATAGAGCAACGCTGTCGAGACCTCGACATGGATCGAGTCACAGATCTGGTTCCATCTCACCCCGAGAAATTTCGCGTTCTCTTCTCCGAAAGCCACCGTTGCCTCCGGACATTTTTCTTGAATATATTCGCCGAGCTCTCTAGAGGATGTCGCGAATCTCTTCAGCGGAAAGCATCCTGTTTTGAAGACCTCGACTAAAGTCGCAACTTTATCTTTCCCGTCTTCTACTGATTTCGCTCCTACGAGCAAATCATCAACGTAGAAGTGTTGTTTCACGAATTCGAGCAATTCCCTGTGTTCTGGTTTAGCCCGTATCTCCGAATTTAAGTGGTGCTTTAGGCCCGCGCAATGCGACCACGGGGCTGATATTAAACCGAATGATAATCTACATGATTGGAATTCTTTCATAGGCGCACCTGGATTTTTCCCGATGCCCAGTGGCCATAGGAATCTCAGATACGTCCGATGTTTTGCCGTTATCTCGAATTGCAGATACGCTTTCTCTATATCCGCCGTAATTACGATTGTCTAAACCTGAGGAGCACTAACAAGATGTCCGCAATGAGATTCTCGCCCTGGAATAACACGTCATTCAAGCTTGCTTCATCCTTGGAGCGTGCTCCCGCATCGTTCACAACCCTCACTTTCAGCTTATCTGCTGTCGATGCCGCTTTTTTGACCACAGCCAAAAGCGGCAAGTAATGGGCGTCTTCGTCTGGGTCTGGCATGCTTGCTTGCTCAACGAAGCCCTGTCCTAGCAGATCTTGTATCTCATCATCGATCGCCTGTAGGAGTTTCGGATTCTTTCGAGCCTGCATGATCAAGCTTTTGAGCCTATTTTCCGCTAATCTTCGGTTGTTTCCGAGGGTTCCCTTATTCGGTTTGTATGGTAAGCTAATCACGTATCTTCCTGATGGAGAGCGTCGAATGGTTTTCTCGAAGAAATCGTTCAATTCTTCGTTTGCTGCCTCGTCTCTATCCTTAAAGAATGGTTCGATTCCCATGACTTCTGTTTCCCATAAGAACGATAGGTCCTCTCCATCAGCTTTGGGTTTTGAGATTACCGCTAGAGACGTGCAAGCTGTTTTTTCCGATGTTTTCCCGTCTGCCAACCAGGAACTCCGTTTATTTCTGATCGCCTCGATCAGCCACGGATTCGTTTCAGCACTTTGTTGCGCGGCTCCGCAGGGAAAGTATCCAAATAGAGTCTCAAGTGCGATGAGCCCGTTCGCCTTTTTGATGTCGCAACCTAGGATTGGATATAAAGAATCTACTCCTATCAGAATGTCGACCTCAGTTGACCATTCGCCATCGTTTCGATCTGCTACAGGATTCAGATTCCCGCAGAAACCCGCGTTTGGGAGTGAACCCCTGATTACGTTTTCTAATGCTGTTGCTCTAATGGTCACCTGTTGATTAGAGAATCTACTCTTAAGAACTACTTCCACGATACGTCCCTTGCATTTTCGTGGATTCGCGTATCCCGCCGATTGTAGGTAGAATATATCTGTGCCTACTTGTTTCGCATTCAATATATCCGCCAACGCATTGGTGATTAAAGTTTTCTGAGAGCCCGTGTCTAGTACGATTCTGCAAATCGTCTCGTCGGTTTCCGACAGCGCCGCGACGTATCCGGTTGGGAGGTATTTCTCCCCGATTTCTATCGTTGTCGTAGTTTCTTGCCCCGATTCCTCCGAGTAGTCCCGCGCGTACGCCGCATCGACTGTTACTTTCTTCGTTTTTACGCATAAGAGGGTGGAGTGTCTCCCGCCGCAATCCGCGCAATTGATTCTTACCCTACATTTGTCCGCCCTGTGGTTTCTCGCAAGACAAACAAAGCATGCATTGTGTGTCGCGGCACACTTTCGTCTTTCCTCAGCCGATAATTGCTTCTTACATTTCGGGCTAGGATGTTGCTCTCCGCAGAAAATACACGAGTGGTCTACCCGAGGAGATGCAAGAGCGAATGAATATTGGCTACTCGTCGAGCCTGAAGGTCCCGCAGGATTGAATTTCTGTCCACTAAATTTTTTCTGATAGCTATCGTACTCATGAGTGAACGATTTCCCGTTTTTTTGGCGGCTCCCGAATGGTTTGTCACCTTGAAACTTCGTTTCTGAATGGAGGATTCTCTCTAGATCTGTCTTTTCTCTTTTGAGAAACTTGACTAGAAATTCCGATTTCGGCGTGATTCCCGTTAGATCTCTAGACGCATCTCGCAACCTCCTCTTACATCCAAACGGTAATGCTTTCTCTATCATGCATGACAAGGGAGCGGACATGCCGTCGTACGAGTTCCCCAAGGTCAACAACGATTGGACATTTTGGACGATGCACTCGACAAATCTGATGAACTTAGCATTGTCCCTGAGATCTCCCCTGCATGCCGCTATGATGTTCTCCATGTGTTGATTCGTTGCCAAGGTCGAGTCTCCGAAGTCCTCGTAGATAGTGTCCCTCGCAACGGTGTAGTTGTCGGCGATGACTCCAAACCCTGAGATGGCTCTCGCTGCCCGACCAACTAAGGTTTTCAACATGAGCTCGTATTTCTCCAGTGGATCCCAGTCTCTCGAATCGATACGTAGCACGAATGCGTCCTTCCATCGGCTGAATTTTGTGACGTTCCCATCGAACTTGGGAACGCGTTCTCCAATTTCTTTCCATGTGGTTCTCGGGACCTGTCCGCTGCTTGTCGTCGTTGAGTTTATCCGCTGCCGGGTTGACTCCAACGTTGATTGGTCGTGTTGAACTGAATTGGAATCTCGTCGGGAGCCTTCGTCCGCAAACGCATCTGGGTCATGTTCTCGCAGGAAAGCCATGACATCGAACTTGATTTCGGCTATTTTTCTTCGTAATCGAGTTCTTTGGCAATTTCAGCTTCTCGCGACTCCAGTGATAATCTTCTTGACCCGATTACTGCTTCGGTAGCCGCAGCTAATCGTCTCGATAATTCCACCAATTCGTGTAGAGCAGCTTTGACTTGCGCGATTGTCCTCGGAGAGGATTCTTTCACGACGATCTCGCGAACTCGCTTGGCTGCCTTCGATACCAATGACCTCACTCGAGCTTAGCTCCCTCCGTTGATTATCAAGTATTTCTTCCGCAGGTTGCCCTTCTGATGCCTGTTTTCCCACGGTCGGTTTGTCTTCTGATTGTTTCGGTCCTGGCTCAGCCATGATGGACTCGTATGTCTCGTTTTCCGTCGAGATTTTCCCGCAGGATAGCCGCCACGCTCACGCTAGGGCTAAGGTTCTCGTTTCTTCTGACACCACTGTCGAAAACCCCTCTCTGAGCACTCTTGGGAATTGGAAGCACAACACTTGATTGACACCTTTCACGGCCGCGGCCTTCCTTGTGAAGTTCAGGGAACCGGTTTTCTATGAGATTTCTGGGGGTCGCGCACGCAGCCACGATCCCGTTGCACTCGCAAGTTGCAATACTTGCAGACGACTGCTTGGTTCACCTGGATTCCGCTAGACGGCTCTGGCGCTCTTTATTGTTATCTTCTCCTTATCTCTCTGCTCTGAGCTCTAATATGTATATTCTGGAATATCGATACACTGGTTGCGTGGCTTTCCAGCCCGCCGCTCTGGAACTGTTCCGATCTCTGCTTGAGATCGACCGCAGTCGTACCTAGAATTCGGTTCGCCACAGGGATCTCGGCCACCCATCCAAGGAAATCGTCGAGCCAGGGGCCGGAGAGCGGATCGTCCCATCGAAGCAGGCGCGTCCATACGATTTTTTTTGGGGGGGGGCAGCCGATTTCTTGAGTCGCATCAAAAAAAACAATTTCTCGATTTTGTGCGGAGATGGTGATTCTCGAGATTAAGCACGAAACCCCGTACTTACAATCATGACCATGAGTGAGGGGAATGCAGGAACTTCAGATTTTAATCCATCACAAATAGCACAACCATCGAACTATTCGAGTATTGATTTACTCCCCCGAAAGTACTTCACAAAACCATTTCAAGCTTTCTCGGATTAGCCGCCATGTAGTCCACAATCTATTCAACAGTAAGCGGCATTTCTCGATGAATTTTCAACGCCGTCAAGCCATTCAATCTCTCTCCTCTCATCTTACTCCGCAGATCTGTTTTCAGCAATTTGAGTACGCTGAAAAAGCGTCCATCTGATCACAGGTCGACTGAAAATCTTGGGGGGGCCATGGCCCCCTGCCCCCCCCCTATGGACGCTACTGCATCGAAGAGTCTGTGACCAAAGTCGCTGGATAAGGAGCTTCCCGCGAAATGTGAAGGGGATCAACCAGCCCACCGGATCAAAGATCGAAGCAAGCACGCGGAGCACCTGCCTCTAGGTAACAATCCTCTCGGCTCCTGTGAATTTGCTGATATCCGACATTTGGAACTGAGAGGGTCACTATCTGGAGCCCGAGCGATACCCAAGACTTGGAGTAATCCAGTCTCGACTAGCACGGTCGTTGCCCTCGAGGGGATCGATCGACTCTGAAGATGGTCGATGACGCTCGGCGAGCTCGATTTCCCAAGGCTCATACTCGCCGATTGCATCCACTCGATGATTTTGTCGATGAATTGTATCGCCTCCGCGTCCGAGTCGAAGCTGCGGAGCATGTCATCAAAGTAGAAAGAGCTGCCCAAAGCGTAGGTCGACGTTGGGTCGATTCGCTTGAAATGCTCCCGGAGAGTGGCGGCGAGCAAGAATCCGCTGAGCGTGGCGTCCTTGGGTACCCTGCGAAATTGGAAACAACGAATTCGTGAATCCTTGGGTCCTTGCCGCAGAAAACGAAATAGGGGACGATCTTCATCGGCGAGGTCGATTGTCATATAGGCCTGCACGATGTCCGCGGAGAGGGCGACTGCTCGAAGTCGGAAGTTGAACAGGAGGCGCTGTATGTCGGGATTCAGGTTGGGGCCGGCCAACAGGTGAGAGTTGAGAGATCTTTCGCCGACCGCTGAAGATGATCCATCCAATACGATCCTCCATCTATCCCCATCAGTCCTCTGGGTGATGACTTGTCTGTGAGGCAAGTAGAATTTGTGGTCACGAGCGCTAGGAGCTGTTCAGTCGACATCGAAGACCTACTCTGCATGACCTGCCCTGACAAACGCCATGATTTCCGCATCGTATCGCCTCATGGACTCGGGATCGCGCGTCAATGCGCGGCGTCTAGCCGATGAGCGAGTGAGAGCGATTTCGAGATTGTTCGAGAGCTGCTCAATTGAGACCCGTTTCGGCATGGCGACAGCGTAACGTCGACCGTCGTACGAAACAGTCTTCTCGAACTGTCTGATCGCGTCATGTTCGGCTTCGTTCAGATCATTCCCCGCGGATTCGGAGGGCCCGATGGCCTCAACCTCCCAAAGACGTTGGAGGTCTCTCACCGGCCGAGACATTGTGGCTGCGCAGCAGACAGGCTGGACACGGACGACGTCGCCGCGAATCGCATTGGACCCATTGGTTCCAGAGACCAGCCAGCCGAATTGCGATGATTTGGCTTCGATGTGGGCAACGGGTGGTGGTCCTCCTCGATGATCGAGTTCAATCCAGTGGAACAGTCGCCACACATTCTGATTCTTCCGTCCGCCTTTTTCACCACCACGATTGGAGCCGCGAAATCCGAGTGTTTTGTTCTCTCGATGACTCCTGCTTGTTCGAGTCAATCGATCTCGGCCGTGACCGCTAGTAGTGTTGCGTAAGCGACTGGCCTGGCTTTTTTGAAAACCGGTTTCGCATTTGGTTTGAGTCTTATCGTGGCTGGGTGTCTTGTGCAGTTTCCGAGTCCCTCCTCGAAAACTTCCTGGAACCTTTCTTGTAGCTCCTCCTTCAATTTGTACTGCTGTGGATTCTGTTCCTTCTCCGTGGTGATTGCTTGCACTAACGTTTGCTCCGTTGTTAGGTCCCCGGAGCTCTGCTCTCTCTTGAGTAGCCTGAAGAATTCAGAGTCTTTTTCCACCCATTCTAATCCTAGTAGATCGCATTCTTCGGTTACGTAAGATGATCCCTTGAATCTGTTGCCGTTGAGATCAAAATCTCCTTCGAAGCATCCGACAACTGCTAGAGGTGATTCATCTGCCTGCATCAGCTCGATATCCGCCGGTTTCAGAATTGGTGAACCGAGTTGCCTCCACGTTTCCTTTGAGATGAGTCCCCGTATCGGCCCCTGTCGGCTGTAGCGGCTCCTGTATCGAGTACCAGTGAGATTTCCGTGGCATCAATTTTCACCGGCCAGCGGATGCGGTTTCTCTTCATCGTTGATAGAATCTGCAGGCGGCGAACCTTTGCTTTGGTACTCTTGGTTCGGCATACTTTGGCCAGATGTCCCACTTTTTGGGATTTGATACACTTTGATTTGATGTAAGGGCAATCTCGTCGCCAGTGATCTCTTGCTCCACAGCGGATGCACGGAGGCGGTGGTGACGGCGGTAGATTGCCCCGCGCCTGCTGGGCCCGTGGTCGAGCATTCTTTTGTATGTAATTGACTGACGATCCGGCTCCAGCCTGCCCCGTTGCGTCATTTTTGAGTTGAGCGTAGTTTGTTAGCTCTGTCGCCAATGATTTCTACGTGGTCTTGTCGTCGTCTAATTTCCTGAGGGCTCTTGTTCTCAATTCTATGTCTTCCTGCGCGGATCGAGCGTTTACCAGAATTAGGCACTCCGGGTTCTCTGGGGTTAATTCATCGAGCACAGCGGCTTCGCCCCGAGTATTGATTAACCCGATCAGGTCCGTAATTTCGATTCCTACACGTTTTGTTTGAAGAAACTTGAAGCGTCGGCGAAAGAGCGATGCTAGTTGTCCGAACAAAGCTTTCAGTGTTGAGATGATCTCGTCTAACTTCACTTTTTCCGGAGTATCCGGCAGTAGGTAGGCCACGAACCGATCATATTCCCCTGAATCCAATTTCGAAAGCAACAACTGTTTCTTCGTTTCCTCACATAACGTCGATCCGTCCGTGTCAACGATCGGTGAATTAATTGATTTTATTATTAATACGGCACGGCCCGCGGAGCTATGGCGAGCCAGGTCGAAGAGAGGTCGCTGCAAGACGATTTCGAGCGCCTCCGCGCTCAACCCGCGAGGTCGGCGAGTGGCGAGGTCGGCGATGTTACTTTTGCCCCTGAC